GGAAGTAGAAATGACCTCGCAGAAACGATGGCTGTTTTCCCTCGTACTCCGGGTAGGAGAATATCAAAGCAGTTAGTAACGGACGCGATTGAAGTAACCGATACAGTTAAATGTCACGCTTACGCATTGCACACACACTTGCCTTCGGGTACATTTTAAATTTCAAAACTTCTTTTGGATGTGCTAATTGTGATTGATTTTGCTTCACCAAAAGACCAAATGTAAGCGCTTGTATTCATAGTTAACAAAAATATGAATGAAGTGTGTATACATAAGCCAATTAGTGACAAAATGTTACGTACCTCTTCCTGTATGTATTCCCAAACGTATTCTTCATTCATTACGTCCAAAAATTCAAACGACACTTCCGGTGTCCGCTGTTCCACGAAAAAAATCATGAATAAATGTAATAACTTTTGAAAGAAAAATTGAAAGATGCCAAAAGCTTATCGATATAAATTAAACAGACCATAGCTACGTTATTTGAGCTAGTTTTTGGGATCGAAATTAACTGGAGGAACACGTGTTACCCCAACACCTAAACAACAATATAATATAGGCAGAATAACGTTGCCGGCAAAGAAAAGGGAGCTTGGAATGACCATTTTTTGGTTCATTAGCCGTCATCAGCCAGCCATACTCAACCCCAAGTGATGCCCCACTCCAGGTTCGAACACGCAACCTCGTTCATTGGAAATAAAACGCTCTAACCACTGCACCATAGATGGGGCACTACTTTGGGTTGGGTATGACTGGCTGATGAGGGCTAATGAACCAGAAATTGGCATTCCAGTCTCCCTTGTCTTCATCGGTAATGCCATTCTGCCTATATCATTACCCGCTGTGCGGCTGCTAGCGGAGCTCGAGAGTGAGCCCGAAGGCACAACGGGACGAGTGAGTCCTGTAACCGATCGGCGGCCGCCTATCTGCCACTGTATATATAATATAGCTATAGTAGATATATGCGTAGGATTGAATGCCGACGGGGACAAAAGAGACTGTGGTGGTTATTTATAGCTTGGTAGCCGTCGTCAGCCGGTGACACACAGCCGTAAGTTTGGACAGGCTGGCATCCGAATTCGGAGTCTTCGGACACTGAGCGCTCAAGTCAACACTCAAAAAATACGGTTAGGTACGGCTACCTGGCAGCAGTTCATAAGCCAGAAATGGCAAATTTTAGTCTCCCCCATATCAATTAATGTTTTGTGAGTTCAGTCCTTTGCTGTGAATGATGTTATCACTCTAGGCCAGATGGATAACCGTTCAGAGACAAGCATGGCTTTAGAATATCTAATCAGGATACCAACCAGGTAAGGTGCTTTGAATTTACGAGAACCTATAGCAACATCTAAGCGTCGTGACGCGAGTCACTGAATGATAAACATAGGGGAGGGTCAAATAACGAATCGCCTAACATGTACTTAGTCCTTCTACCTCCGACAGGAGAAAGAACCCGCAGCTAAGGTAACAGGAAGCTGGCGCGAGCTGTTTCCATCTATGTCAGCGTGGGTGGGAGGGTGGCATCCAGCTACATCGCGTTTGCGAGCGGAAACGCGAATTAGTATCCAACACGTCAGGCATAATTCCCACGGCGACCCAGTACGTACAATAGATGTGCTATCCCACGAAATGGTAACCGAAGTTTCAAAGGTGTGTTTCCAATTTGAGAATACTACTTAAGCAGGGTTGTAATAAACATTATCGTGCAGCATCAACTCAAGACAGTTAAGCCATGTCATAGCGAGTTGGAAATTATTCGGGTATTGAAAACCTTTCAGAAACCGGCCACTACCTTGTTTTCAGGTAAGTTTTAAAGAAGGCGTAATATTTTACCAAAAGAGTACAAGAAAGAATAATTTAGTAATGTCTTCTATAAAATATATTTCAATTCGAAGAACATCGAACATCGAAGAACAATGGGAACATTTCATAATACGTAAGTACTTCTTAAGTAGATTCCGCATCTGCCCGGGAAGAGGTTTATTCAAAAGTCGGCATTCTTATTTTACCGAAATATTTTGGGATAATGCTGCACGATAATTAATATTACAACCCTGTTTAGGCAACCTTCTCATACACACAATACACACAATTTAGTATTTCGGTTAAAATTTCAAGCGATAGCAAATTTACTGTACAGCCTATCGCTAATGCAAGGTAGACACGCTTACGACAGCCTATATGAAAACGATGTTTCCTCGCAGAGAAATAAGTGTTCTAGCAACTTTTGGTTGAAGTCAAAGAAGCAACTAATTTCAACAACCAAAATGAAATTTAAACTCGAAAGAGAAGAAGACATAGAGGTGCTTTCTGATTAAACGAGTAGGCCCGACAACATTTGGGAAAATAGATTCAATGGACAGAAAGTACACAACGATTACAATTAAGAGCCGGCTAAAGGCATTCCCGCAGTTTACCTGTTTTATACTTCGCATTGTTTGAATCATCACCATAAAGGCATTGAAGTGCATGTAGAGGGCAGGAAAAATGAGCTGAAGGAGTTCAGTGAGGTAGCTGGGCTCAGCCAGGGAAGAAAGTGGAAAAGGTTGGCCTTGCGCAGCGACACTTGAAAAAAAATGGAGAAAAAATTCAAAGGCGTATTCATAATAACATTAAAATTTGGAGCAAAAATTATTAAAGGTAAAAGTGAAGTATCCCCGATATCTAAAATCCATGCTTACGTGGCTGTTACTGACGTTCGGTTGGCAAACATCTGCCTGTGGTTATGGACCTCGAAAATGCTATTTTTGATAGACCGTTCACATTATCCATTTTAGTAAATTGCAGTGGCTCAGCCGAAATTTGCTATCAACTGCGAAAAGGATATATTTTAAAGTACGATCGTCTTAATTGTTTGTCGCGGAAAAGAAGCTGTGGTGACTTTGAACGACAGCACAAAAGGAATTTGGTTTTATTGATACGATTCGACATTTTATCATAAAGACATATTGTTATGCAGACACGTTTTAGTACTTGCATGATTCAGAGCTTAGTATGAAGTGTATGGTTTAGAAGTGTGCGCACTAATATGGCATGGCAATAGTGAAGTTTTGTTCTGTTAGTACCGCTTTCACGCGAACTATGAACAGCATTCAACTGCGACTTTGGCGTGGCGTTGAAGACTGCCGCGTTCACGGAATATAACTTAATTTGGGGATTGACGTCAGATGAGAGTTAAAATATTCCAATTCGAAATTAATAAGTTCACTCGATTGAAAAATAATAATAATTCTCACGATTCAAAATAATAAGCACAAAAGACTATATGTTTGACAAAATGTAAAAAGAATTCTGAAGGGTGGCGCACTCCCGTCGACAATCAGGGATAAAGTAACACAACGAACCAGCTTCCCAGGTGGAACACTGTGTGGACTTAGACATAC